ATGAAATTGCAAACATTAATGAAAGTGGTGTATATTTTTGCCAAGTTTAAAAGTGGTACATATAATTGCAATTTTCGAAAAGGTCATAGTTTTATTAGCAATTAGGCCAAAAAAAAAATGTTCATAACATTTTTTATTGCAGAAAACTTCAGAAAACATAAAAAAAAGAAGGAAAAATGTGAATGAAACTTGCAAATATAAAAGGGGAAATTAACTCATCACAAAGCAAGAACACAACAACATCACACCATTTCTGGCCCTCATTATTTGCTCGCTTGAGCCTTGAGTTGCTTGAGGTGCTGATAGCCCAGAGGCATAATCGAGTGAATTTCATCGAAATAAGGAGCGGTTGCCTTCTTCGTGTCCTCGACCCACTTCTGGACTTTCTTGTGTGGGCTTAGTATCCGGTGACGGTCTTCTTCATCGACAAGCTAAAATCGCAAATAGGGGATATAAAAAATTCTCATCAATCAACATTTACGGTTAATTTGGACAAAAACTAATCTACTACGTATGTAATTCAACCCATACACTAATGCTGCTATTAGGCTGTCTAAACGGTTAGACAACTATACTTTCTTACAGAAAATCGCACACTTGTGAATTCAGCAAGTACACAATAGGTACATTTAGTTTTCTTGTCTTACCTCAAGTTGCATGATTTCACAAACTAAAGCAAGATCCGCAATCGAGGGTTGAGAATTTCCCAGCAAGAAAGGGCCGTTTCCTTCGAGCCAATGCGACTCGATTATCGCCAGAGACTTGGACAGAAGTTTCTCACCTTCATCAGCAGCCTTTGGGTCCAACGGCAAACCAAATGCCAACACAATACCGGACGCATTGAATATATATCCAACTGTGCGTATCAATAAAAAAGCATATTTTGATTTGATTATATCGAGAAAAAAAATACCTTGATTTGATCACGAATGATCATTTGCAATTTCAAAAAGGTGTAAAATTCTAAGCAAATGTCCATATATATATATATATATCCATAAGAACGAAGCGGAGCGAAGTGAAGGAAAAGGGTCGACTTAGTCCCCTCTCCTTGCACTCGGCTAACTTCGTACCTCGTGAAACACCTTCTCAATTGCAAAAGTTTAAGCTAAAGGAAGGAAGGAGAATGCGTCAACATTAGGGCCAAGAAGATAGAAATTAAGATAGAAATAATGTTCCTGGATCTTAGGCTGATCCAAGGCTTAGGTTTCCTTCCGGACAAGAGAACGCATTAGATGTTGTAAGCTACGGGCTATAAAATCTCCGACTATTGCTCTTCTTGATTCACTACACATCAACTAATTTCAACTAGAAATAAAATTTAGTATAAAGTAAAAATAAATAAATAAATAAAAGTAGATATTGTAACCTGAACCACGTCGCAAATTCGAGTGGTGCCAATCCAGCACAGAGTGAATCTTTGCCCTTTTACAGACATCCGTTGGGTACCTGAAGCACCGTTACAAAATCGAGCATTTTTTTTTTTTTTTTTGGTTAATTACTCAAAAGATAGGACCGACTCGCTAGAGAAAACAATAATTGTCCGGTGAATAAATCGAAATTCGAAAGAAGAAAATACCAGTTATCAGCAACTCCAGGAAATGCAGAAGCCAAGTAAATGAGAATAGCATGGCTGCATATATACAAATGTGACACATCAATTTAAATAAAATTAATGTATGATAGTAAAATAAATAATAAATATATCAATTCATGGCATCAATGTTTTGAAAATTGGGAAGTGATGAAAATGTACCTTTCAAAGAGTTTGAAATCACCATGCACCATTGCAGGAACTTGTTTCATGGGGTTAATTTCTGAAGTACATATTTCAAGCAACAGATTTTTCAGTAAGTTAATTTATTCCAGAACCACATAAAACATTAGAAAAAAAAAAGAAAAAAAAAATGTAACAGTTAGTTTATTTAGTTTGCTTATAAACAGCTTCTTACATTCAAATAAGTTAGGTTTGGTAAAATAGTTTGTGCTTATTGAAATTTTCTTTTCACCCAACTTATAGTCTTACTAAGGGGGTGATTATTTATCAATCCAATAAAAAAAAAAATAATGAAAACTCAAATTTAACTCAACTTTTTTTTTTGGTGCAAAACAAGGAGGCTACGCAAGCCTAGAGAACAATCGAACGAGGATACGACACACTAATCCTATCATGGTGCAACCATACTCTCGCCCCGGGCGGGGGCTGTTCCAATCTAGATATACCACTCGGGCCAGTGGCCGCTAACGAAGCCAAATAGTCCGCCACAAAATTAACCTCGCGATAGTCGTGACTAAGACCCACCTCCCAAGGGCGGCCTACCAGCTCCTTTATCCCCATCAAAAGGCCACGGTGAATCCCGGAATGTTGACCCTGCAATGATACTCTTATTGTCGACTTCCACTTGCACCTTACGCGCCCCTATATCCCAGGCCAACAACAGCCCTTCAAACAAACCCCAAAGTTCAGCTCCAATAATGGAGCAATAACCTATATTCATCAAAAACCCATGAACCCAGTTTTCATGGTGGTCCCGGACGACCCCCCGACACTTGCCATGCCCGACGACGGGTCAAAACTCCCGTCGGTGTTCACTTTCAAAACCCCCTCCGGCGGGGCCACCCACGACAGCCAACGTAGCCCCCGAACGCCGGTCACCCCTAACTTCCGGCCACTCTTCGTCGCTTTTGAAACCGTGCGCAGAACATTAGCTAATTCATTAAGGCAATGGGCTAAGGGAAACTCGCCTCCTTGGAAGATCATGAGATTGCGCCACCTCCATAGGCGCCATGCCGTCAGACCGAATACGGATATCCAGTTCATAGTGGCCCGGCTCAAGTCACCATTGAGGTTGTCCACAAACCAATGCCGGAGATCCATCGAGAAGAAGGTAGACTAGAGATCACGTGGAAGCAGCTTCTCCCAAGTTTGTCGCGCAGCCGGGCAGTCCCGTAAAGCATGGAGAGTGCACTCGCATGCAGCTAAACATATCGGGCACTCCGAGCTCGACGCGACATGGCGCCGATACTGCGTAGCGTCAGTAAGCAAACAATCCCGGGCGGCTAACCATAGAAACTGGCGAACTCGCTACGGCCCCACCCACTTCCAGATCAACGACCACAATCTATCACCACGTCGCCGTCCATTCGGATCTATCGCCGAGTAAGCAGTCTTGGTCGAAAACCGGCCATCCACCGATAAGCCCCAAAACAGCGAGTCCACCCCGACCAACCTAGAAGGCGGCGGAATAGCGGAAATGCGAAGTAAGCATGTGGCCAGTAACAATCCCTGAAACAATGGCCAATTCCACTCGCCACCGGCGAATAGAGCAGCGCCTCGGGAACGGGAGCCGTGGCGAGCTTGATCAGCAAACAACAACAACAACAAAGTCTTTTAGTTCCAAACAAGTTGAGGTAGGCTAGAGTGAAACCCAAGAAAAATAGTGGTAACAGAAACAAAAAAAAACAAACAAAAAAAAATAAAATAAAATAAGCGGGGTATCAAAATTAAGCCACCTATCCCACCAAAAACGAGCCATGTGGCCATTACCCAAGGTCCATCGACATCCCAACAACGTAGCCTGCCACACGTCTCGGATAACCCGCAGCACAGTTGAACCTTAAGGTAAAGTCCTCGCTCATCATCTCCAAAGGGTTCAACTTATATTTAGCCCGAAGGATTCGACACCAGAGTAGGTTCGGCTCTGTTAAGAAGGTCCAAGCCAACTTCATCAACAACGCCCCATTCATCAGACGTTGGTCCTTCATGCCCAACCCGCCATCTTGCCTTGGCTTACACACCTCGGACCAAGAAACCAAGCTGACTCGCCTAGTCGAGGACGTCCCTCCCCAAATAAAGTTCCGACACTTCCGTTCCAGGCTATCACACACCCCAAAAGGAAGAGAAGCGGTCTGCATAGAAATATACGGAAGCGAGCTCACGACCGACTGAGCCAAAGTAACCCTACCCGCCATAGAAAGCGACGAGGCCTTCCATCCGGCTAGCCATATCTCAGCTTTCTCCAGGATCTCAGCATACGTAGCCTTAGTCACCCGACTGTGGATTAGGGGCATCCCCAAATATTTACCCAAATTATCCACCACCTCGAATCCTAATGACTGACCCAACGAGAAACGGACATCTTCCCTAACATTAGGAGAGAAAAACACTTGTGTTTTGGGCTCGCTTACCCGGAGGCTCGAAGCCACGCAAAAACTTTGCATCACCTCCTTTAGACAAAGCTCCAGGGCGGGGCTCGCTTCTATGAACAAAAGTAGGTCGTCGGCGAACATCAAATAAGGAACCGCGAGTTGTCCCCGCCCTACCGCAATCGGCTTCCAAGCGCCATTGGCTACCGCCGCATCAATCATATGCGCCAAGCGTTCAATGCACAACACAAAAAGATAGGGCGACATTAGGTCGCCCTGACGAATCCCCCGGGATGGCTGAAACTCTTCAGAGACTACTCCATTCCACTGTAGTTGCATGGTTGCCGACGTGACACAAGCCATAACAGCCCCCACAAAACTACTCGGAAACTCCACCAACACCAAAGTCTCGCGGATAAAGTCCCACCGGAGGTAGTCGTATGCCTTCTCCAGATCCACCTTCACCACCATAAAGTCCCGCGCTCTTGTCATACCTCGCATCGAGTGGATAAGTTCTTGAGCAACGACAATGTTATCAGTAATGTGACGACCCGGAACGAAACTCACCTGAGCCGGATTGATGAGAGAGGTGAGGGCTGGTTTCATTCTCTTAGCGAACACCTTAGTCATAAGCTTAAAAACCACGTTGAGGAGGCTGATGGGTCGAAGCTGCTTCAAAGATACTGGGTTGGCCACTTTAGGAATCAGCACGAGAAGAGTTCGGTTGAGAGACGCGGGAACACCCTGGCCCCGCCAGATAGCCAACAACTGGGAGCAAACCGCCGGACCCACGTGGTGCCATTTCTGCTGAAAATATAGTGCATGTAGCCCGTCGACACCAGGTGCCTTAAGGGGCGCCATCTCTATTATTATCCAACTACACAATCTCCATTATTATCAGTATAATTTAATAATATCAACCAATCATTCTTACGCATCATGTCAATGTTAATTCACTATTCATCCACTCACATAATTTTAACTAACACCGGACCCACGTGGTGCCATTTCTGCTGAAAATATAGTGCATGTAGCCCGTCGACACCAGGTGCCTTAAGGGGCGCCATCTCTATTATTATCCAACTACACTATCTTCATTATTATCAGTATAATTTAATAATATCAACCAATCATTCTTACGCATCATGTCAATGTTAATTCACTATTCATCCACTCACATAATTTTAACTAATGATCACTTCCAATTATTTTTCTCATACTTTTACATCATAACAACTTTAATTATTTTATTTTAAATATTATTTTAATATATCTACTAACAACTAACCATACCACTTTTTTTTTCAAAATTAACTGGTTAATAAAACCAATTAAAAATTAGTTGAATTCATAAACAATCACCCCCTAAACACTTCTCTTTGTTTTTTGCCATCAACCACAACTATTAGAAATTTATTATAAAATCTATTTATATATATATAATTGTTGACAAGTTTCAATAAATTTTATTCAGCTAGCAATTAATAATAATAGGAGTTCATTTAATAAAAGTATGTGTTCATTTAATAAAAAATATGTTTACCATTTAATAATAATATATGTAACTTTTGGATATGTAACTTTTAGATACACAATTTATTTTGAAAGGTTCTATTTTATATGGTGCCCATTTCTGTAACGCCTTTTTTATGCCTTGAATTACAAAATAATTTTGCTTTTATTTTGATACTATATATTTTTTGGTATTATACAAAAACATATTTCACAACTATTTAAGAATGACTACAAGTATTTTCATTTTCTATTGCAGTCATACAATAATAAATAAAAAAAATAATCGGATATTACAAAGAAACATCAAATATTTTGAAAAATCAAATCCTAGGGTCATGAGTCGAAGAAGTTTACCGATAATGATTTGTTGTGGTGGGAATTCTGACGATAGAAAACAACGAATGTTGTGTATAAAGAAATGTTTAATAATATTTAGATTTATTTTTTTAAATTATTTTTTTTATCATTTATTAAGTTATGATTTTTATTTTATTCTATATTTTTAATTACTTTCTTTTATATTATATCAGTTTTCGTGTAAATGCACGGAGTAAAACTAGTATCAACTAAACAAATAATTATTTCAATCACTGGTCATAAAAATTATTAACTATAACTCGAAATTCACTCATAACCAATTTTAACTAATTTGTGATACTAAACAAATAGTTATTTCAATCACTGGTTATAAAAATTATTAACTATAAACTCGAAATTCACTCATAACCAATTTTAACTAATTTACAGCTAGGGTTTTAGTTATAGATTTACCAAATATACTCATATTTCATAAATAGCTTTTATAATTACCCAAAATAATAGGGGTAAAAATCAAGAACAAAAAAAAAAAA